ATGATACAAGACAGGACTGAAATCAGATCTTCAAGTATTATTGGCAGTGCTTTCTGAAACAAGAACCAACATTAGTAAGTACTTCCATATTATTTTGTCTTTTTCTACAGAAAGAACTACAGGAACATAAATGCATCTATACAGAGCACAAGTTCACCATCTACATCAATGATAAGAAACAAAGAAAAAGGTCTCTGGGCAGCAAAAACAGTGGTTACAAAGTTCATACCCTAATACTCAAAGAAGAGCAGGTAGAACATAACAAAGCCTATTTAGCTGTTTTACATTCGATGTCAGGAAGCTCCTACTCCACAGATAAGAAGCTGCAAATTTAAAAGAGGGCAGCAGGGATACTAACAGTAGCAAAAGAGCAGCTTTCCACCACTGAAAGAAGACACAGACTGACTACTGAATCTGACTCAAGTAAAGTTAATAATTCAAAAAGCAGAGAGGACAGCAACCTCCATTTTTCAATCATCTCAAAGTCTCACTCAATTACTGCCCGTATGCTAGTAATCATAACCAAAGCATATAATACACTGTAAAAAATTTTCCACAAAAGGTAGAGCTCAAATAAAATGTTCACATATATACCTTATTTCCCAATAACATTAGGTAAATGAGGCATTGCTATGTATATTAAGCAGAAAGTTAACATTTGAGAGCAGGAAATGATAGACTTCACTGCCTCTCTCTGTGCTTGGTTCTGTCCTCTAGACACAATTCATAATTTCATATTCCTTGGCCTGCCTTTAACATATGCCCAAGTTAGCATCCTCTTCTCTAAAATGGGTTATCTTGCCAGAAAGTATAGACCTTAAACACACACTAAAGCTCAAGGTCTTTTCTGCATCATCTTACATTTTTCTTTTTTTTTTTTTTTTTTGAGACGGAGTTTCGCTCTTGTTACCCAGGCTGGAGTGCAATGGCGCGATCTCGGCTCACTGCAACCTCCGCCTCCTGGGTTCAGGCAATTCTCCTGCCTCAGCCTCCTGAGTAGCTGGGATTACAGGCATGTGCCACCATGCCCAGCTCATTTTTTGTATTTTTATTAGAGACGGGGTTTCACCATGTTGACCAGGATGGTCTCGATCTCTCGACCTCGTGATCCACCCGCCTCGGCCTCCCAAAGTGCTGGGATTACAGGTTTGACCCACCGTGCCCGGCCATCTTACATTTTTCTTATCTCATACTGGGATGACAGATGCACATCCTAGATTCTTTACATCCAGAGACAGGCATTTTTTTCTTTTGTTTTTGGTAAGAAAGACCAAATCAGAAGTGACATCTCTGCATTATGTTCTCTTCTAGGCAGCTCAAACAGTCATGTTAACATAATAAGTTAGTCAGAAGTAGGGCCGGGCATGGTGGCTTATGCCTGTAATCCCAGCACTTTGGGAGGCCGAGGGCAGGTAAATCACTTGAGGTCCGGAGTTTGAGACCAGCCTGACCAACAAGGTAAAAATCCCATCTTTGAAAAAAAAAAAAAAAGAGTCAGAAGCTGGTTTCAATAGCAAAGTAAGCTCTTGTTCTGCAGCCCAGGCCCATGTTAATGAATTCATTAGTACTTGGGGTTAGGCAGGCAGCTGAAGAAAGGAAAACAGGAAGATACATGTAGGTGTAGAAGAAGGAACTGCTGGAGAAGTATTCTAAGAAGGGGTAACTCCCCTCTTCCTCCTGCAAAATAAGGGACAAGGGCATTCAGGGTCAGTGCTGTTGGCATGGCTATTACCAAGAGCTCTAGGTTCTTCTATGCAAAAACACTGGCTATCAATCCAACTGCCCAATTAGCCTAGCCAGAGCAGGCTGCAGGAGCAAGTCTGTGAAGCTCCACCTGACTGGAACCTGCACAGGCTACTCCCAGGCTGCAGGTAGCTTAGAACACCAAACAATCACAGAAGCAAATAACACACCTCAACAGCACATTTTGAACAGTAATCTGAAAAACGTTTTCTAGGCTGTTTTTTCCTTTTGACAAAAAGAGGGACTAAACAACTTGGTAATACAGGATATTTCCCCTTCCCTCATACTGTTTTCCATGTATTCATTCTACTGACACTGATAAATATTTCTTGTACACTTTCTACAAACAGGCACTGTTAGGTGCAGAGAGAAAAGTACACAGATTATCATAACGATTACAACACACTGTAGGGCCTCATTGTAACTGTGCTCCCCATCCCAATCTACAAAACCGCATGGCACTTAGTCCCAGAAGGACCAGACATTCAGATTCAGAAGACTCTTTTTTTTTGAGATGGACTCACTCTGTAACTAGGGTGGAGTGCAGTGGCGTGATCTCAGCTCACTGCAACCTCCACCTCCCAAGTTCAAGCGATTCTCCTGCCTCAGCCTCCTGAGTAGCTGGAACTACAGGCAAGCGCCACCAAGCACAGCTAATTTTTGTATTTTTAGTAGAGATGGGGTTTCACCATGTTGGCGAGGATGGTCTCAATCTCTTGACCTCATGATCTGCCCCTTTCGGCCTCCCAAAGTGCTTCGATTACAGTTGTGATTACAGGTGTGAGCCACTGTGCCCTGCTGTTTCCTTGTAATGGTTTACAACTGTGACCACAGAATAAAAAAAGAACAGCCTCCTGCTTCTGTTATGAGATTGTGGCAATCAAGAGACAACCTCTTTTAAAAAGTTATCAATTCAGCCGGGCACGGTGGCTCAAGCCTGTAATCCCAGCACTTTGGGAGGCTGAGGCGGGTGGATCACGAGGTCGAGAGATCGAGACCATCCTGGTCAACATGGTGAAACCCCGTCTCTTCTAAAAATACAAAAAAGTACCTGGGCATGGTGGCACGTGCCTGTAATCCCAGCTACTCAGGAGGCTGAGGCAGGAGAATTGCCTGAACCCAGGAGGCGGAGGTTGCGGTGAGCCGAGATCGCGTCATTGCACTCCAGCCTGGGTAACGAGAGCGAAACTCCGTCTCAAAAAAAAAAAAAAAAAGTTATCAATTCAAGAGCTGAAGTATCTGGCTTTAGGGTTTTACACCGATGAAATGACCGTAACACAAAGTGTAGGAAGCTGAGGTCTGCCCTGAAGGTAAAGGAACAGAAAATTTCATTTAGGAATTTAAAATTCAGCAGAGATTAAAAGCAGAAACTTTAATGCTGCGTGAAAGGGTTGGAATCTACAAATGGAAATCAAGAGAATAAACTAAAAGTCAAGGAATTACCAATTTAGCATAAAATAATTCTACGACATAAAGGATTATAAAAAGAAAGATGACAGAAACAGTGATGTGTTTGTTCTCTAATCTTAAGAACCAAAAACAAAAGCAGGGCATGTGTTTTCTAGTTTCCATTCATTCACCAAAACAGAGCTCTTGTCCTACTAGTTCTAGAGAAATGAATAAAGCATATGGATGTCACATTTTCACCAGCCAGAGAAGAAATGCTGTGAACTCCAAGATGTCTTGATCATCTTTTACCTGTATCCATATTTATCACTGCACTTTACCATGAGTGAGGCTGAGAGCCTGAATTATACTTGTGTGTGCCTTTTTATTCTCCTTTGATAAGCAATTTCAAATGGAAAGGGCCTCCTGCTGATTCCATTGTACCGTTCTAGGGGCCAAAGTCCAACGTCTTTGCAAACTTTAGAAAAGTTATTAATAGAAAACACTGATTTTAAATCTCCCTGAGATCCGCTATGGTTCTGGGAAAATAATTTAGCATCTTTACCACTTGTACCTCAGTTTCTCAAAGACAAGTCGTGATAATAAACTATGTGTGAGGAAGTGCTCTAAGCTTAGCTCGAAGGTCCTGCAAAAACTCAAGCAATGTTTGTAACACATAAACACGCTAAAATCTCTAACCTGATTTTTAGAAATCAACACCAGTGAAATTCGTGCAAGAATGTACAACGCAACGATAGGCGTGGCTAGTAAATGGCAATCTTAACTTTACCAGATTATAGATTTTAAAAGTCCTACAATTTGAAAGCTAAAAAAAAAACCCCACATTCCTATTTCCCTTCCAAGTGAGAAATCAAACCTCCAGAGGGAAGCTGGCTGGGTGGGGAAGATACTGATATCTGGCACTAGCCCCAAGTTGCAATACCAAGCAACTCTCATTTTCCCAAATTAGAAACTCCTTACCCATCCCAATGATGGTATGGCCTTTAAAAGGACTAATAATTCCGTAAAGACTAACCAAGCCCTATTTTCCCCACTTTCCCTCCAATCCCTCCTTCTACCCCTTCTTTTCCTATCCAGAGACTGGCAGGTGACAGAAGCCAGATCAGCACGAACCCACAATCAAGGACGCAGCTCGACAAGTGCTCACATTCATCATTAAGGGCAACCTATCGGTCAGCTCTTAACGTCGGGGCCGTCACACCCGGAAATGCAATCTCAAGCGCAGCCCACTGAGGGTTAACACGGCATTCCTTAAGTTGTGCCCTTCTGCGAGCGCCCCGCGCAGGACCCCCGGAGACCAAGGGCCCCGGGCACTGCGGCCCCGCCTCCTGCCTCCGGCCTGCAGGTCACTCGCGCTTCCCGGCCACGCGGCGGGCCCAGCAGAGACCCCGCGAGGGCGCGCTCCCCGGGCTGCCGCAACGGGCGCTCGCGGGAACACAAGAGAGGCACTGGGGCCAGTCGCCTCTGGGGACCGCGCAAGGGGACGAGGGACGGTCCCTAGAAGGACCCCGGGCAGCCTGAGGCAGCCCCCAGGTAGGGGCGGCGCCTCAGGTGGGCCGGGGAGGCGGCGGCCGAGGCCGCGTCCCTTCAGCAGCGACCGCACGCAGGAATGCGCGGCTCGGGCGGGTCTCCCCGGCAGCCTCGGGCCCTCGCCCGAGACCCGCCCGCGGCCACTCCGGGACGACTCCGGGAACCGGTGCCCGGCCCCTCAGGGAGGCGCCCCGCCCCCAGGCGGCCCCAGCCCGGCGCGCGCCACGCACCGCGCCCCGCCCGCGTGCCGGTCCGCGTTTTCCCGCCCGCCGCACTGGGGGCGGGGGTCGCGCGCCCTCCCCCGCCCCCACGCCACTCACCTGTCGGGCCCTAGGCTCGCTCCATGGCCGCCCGCGCGGTGCGGTGCGGCGCGGCCCCGGCCGCCCCCGCCGCCTCCGGGGAGGGGCAGCCCCACGCCGCGCTCACCGCCCCCAGCCGCCGCCGCCACTGCGGCTCCCGCCCACCCCCGGCCCGGCCATTCCGAGGCCACCTCTCCCCGCGCTGAGCGGCAGTCCCACACCCACCCCCCGCCTCCGCGGCCCCTGGCTGTTGGTACCGTCCTAGCGTAACGCCTGCCCCGCGGCCAATCCCAGCGCTCGCTCGGCGCGGCCCCGCCCCCGCCTCGGTAGGCGGCCTCTACCGGACCCGCTCCGGACGGCCCCCCTTAACCCCTTCCGAGCCGGGCGCGTCCGCTTAACTCTCTCGGCGCCGGTCCTGGTCTCCACTCCTCCGGGCCGCGCCGCCCTGGCAGGATTACATAAACTGGCCTCTCACTTCTCACTTCCTTCGCTCTTTCTTTTTTCTTTTTCTATTTTCTCCATTTCCCACCCCGTCTTCGCGTTTTCTTCCCTGCTTGTCTTAGGTAGGTAGGCAGCAGGACTGGAGAGTTGCGGTCCCCTGGGTCAAGTTGTTTGTGAGCAGCATAGTCCCTCCTCCTTTTGCCTTTTTAATTTGCCTTGACTTCTGCTGGGAGGTTCTGCCTGTCTAAATGTATCCCCCGCCTCTTTTGCCCAGGAAAAAGGCTAGCCTTCCCACACTGAGTGCAAATGGCTCTTTCTTCGGACCAGAGCAGAGCGTCCTGCTGCATGCTTTCAGGAGCATCTCACAAAATTATGATTCACTGATTGCAAGATTAGTCGTTTTACATCTGCCTTTTGATAAGAACCGTAAGCCCCATGAGGGCAGGTCAGGCGCCCCTGGGTCTCCAATGCCTGACCGCAGTGCACCCAACGGGCGCGGATAAATGGTGTGAATGAGAGATTTTCCCTTGTGTTTGCTTTCCACTGACTATATACAAAGCGGCCACTGTGTCCATCCATTTATTCACCATATACTGAAGCGCGGACTTAGTGTGCCTTAACCTGAAATATAATGCAGGTTGCTCCGTGGGATAAGATGCGTGATGGAGAAAGACTTGAGTTGACACTTTTTCTTCAGGCCAAATAGTTCATTTAATCAGTAAGGTGTACTGGCCAGAATTCTTATTTGCTGTGTGATACAGGATGTACCAGTTAACTTCGCTAAGCGTCAGTTTCCTTCACTGGAAAATGGAAGTTAATCACAGTACCTAGTTCACAGGGTTGTTGTGAGGATTCCGTTAGGAAATGTGTGGGGAAAGTACTCTAAGATTATTGTGTAGGATTAGCTGTTGTTCATCTATGTATTTACTGAGCATTTACTATCAGGAGATCCTAGAGAAATAATTGGGCTTGACACCCGTTCCCGACACTGTAGTTAGGGAGGCAGCATTAATCACTGCAGGAGGCGTACAGTCAAACGCAGAAGGCATTGTATCAGCCTTTTGCTGCGTGTAGTTGAAAAGGTTTGGAGGGGCCGGGTGCGGTGGCTCAAGCCTGTAATCCCAGCACTTTGGGAGGCCGAGGCGGGTGGATCACGAGGTCAAGAGATCGAGACCATCCTGGTCAACATGGTGAAACCCCGTTTCTACTAAAAATCCAAAAAAAAAAAAAAAAAAAAAAAATGAGCTGGGCATGGTGGCACATGCCTGTAATCCCAGCTACTCAGGAGGCTGAGGCAGGAGAATTGCCTGAACCCAGGAGGCGGAGGTTGTGGTGAGCCGAGATCGCGCCATTGCACTCCAGCCTGGGTAACAAGAGCGAAACTCCGCCTCAAAAAAAAAAAAAAAAAAAAAGGAAAAGGTTTGCAGGTCGTTTTCTGGCCAGGGAATACATAATTCTTGGGGAAATGAGCAGGATGATAATGAGAATCTACCTTATTTTCCTGCACAGAAAGATCGGTCTGCTTGCAGTTAGCTAATCTTCCTGAACCTTGCTCACTACATCAGGAGATCATAAAGCAAAAGGGTAAATCAACAGTTCCTTTAAGACACTTTACGCTTAAGGATTCTCCTTTCTTGCCTGTAACTCTGACAAGGACAGTGAGGGTGAACGCTCCAACTGTCACTGTTGAGGAAAAGGCCAGCTTATCCTGCAGCCTCAGCTTCCTGGGCGGATGATCCCTTCTGTCTTCAAGGATTTTCAGGTGGGGGCAAGGGGCAGTCATTGCCTCTCCAAGCAACCGACTTCAGTGCTTAATTTCGCATCCATCTATCCATCCCACATACTGCAGGACAGACACACTTCCTCCTTTTTTCTGTCCTCAGAGAAGGAGAGCCATGGGTTCAGGACCTCTCTGAAAGGCTTTCAGATGACAAAATTGTTCGGTCCTCCAGTTTCCCTTCACCATGCTGCATTACCCAGGCCCTTCTTGGGTGTATGCACAGCACCAGCACCGTGCCTGTCACTCCATTATGTCAGTTTCTGCCCCCTCCCCCATAATGGGTTATTTTCCAACCAATCAACAGTCAATATATTCTAAGTATTGTGAGGGATGCAATCACTTAAGAAGGGCGTTTACATGACTAGCACACAGGAAGCAGCTGCAAGGAATAGGGACACTTAAATTATGCAGCACAGACTCTGTGATCACTGAAAAGAATCACAGGAAGTCCAGAAAGACAGTGTGGGCTGGTATTGAGGTGAGCAAAATATGGGCAGGAGAAGAGAGGAACAATGTGAACGAAAGTTAGGCAGTGTCCTGTGAACTTACAGCCAGCATTTTCAGCAGGTAATGCATGACAGGAGAATGGTTCATGTGTTCATTCATTCATTGATTCATACATTCATTCATTTAATGAGTGTCTACCAAGTGCCAGGCACTGAGCTACCAGACCACGCAGAGATGAAGAAGGCCTTGTTCCCGTTCTTGAGAAGCTGGCAGGAGCCCCCGTTAAGGAGGTCTGAGCACTTTGTCAAGATTATTGTGATGCTCCTTTTCCCACTCATACCACGTATTGTGGTTCTACGTGTCTTTGTCCAATCTCCTCTTTGCCTTTCTTCCTTGTTCCCAAACTGCAAGAATTTTAAAAGACGTTGACTCTTTCATCTTTATTTCCCACTTGTAGAGTGCTTCATATAAAGTACCTTCTCCACATAGATGTGTGGAAGCTCATTGAGTTAAAACCGAAGCAGGAATTTGGCTGTCCCCCTCCAACCAAGGGCGGCAGGCATCCTTGCCAGAAGGATGGATATTAGCCCCAGTGGGGAACTCCAATCTTGGTTATTAGCCCCAGTGTGAAACCCACCAGAGGCTTGTCCACGGCCTGCGGAATTCAATAGGAACACCTCTGCTAGGCATTTACGGCCCTTGTCACCTTTTCAGGCCCATTTTCTGCTAATTTCTTATCCTCCACCCTAAGGGGCTCACTTGCTCTCCTTTCCCTGCTCTCATGGTTGTGATCACATTGATTCTTCCTCCAGGACATCTACTCACTCCCACCTGTAAACATGTTATACAGCTCTCCGTGCTACTTGTTCATGAAGCCTTTCATAGCTTTCGCAACTGCACGCGCTTTTCTTGGCTTCTGAGGCCCAGCACTTTATTTGTAACTGTCTTGTGGTGGGTTGTATTGAAGTCTTTGGGGATCTGCCTGACGCCATTCCCCGGGTTGTACTGTCCTCAGAGAAGGAGAGCCATGGGTTCAGGACCTCTCTGAAAGGGAGGTACTGACATCTGCGTCTTCTGTAGCACTAAGACCCATTGCACGGCCCATGGTAGCCATGCAATGCTTGAAAGGGAAGTTTTTGAACAGGTCCTGCAGAGCAGGGAATTGAGCCCCAGAGACATTTCTCGGTCCCTTCATCATTGTAAGCATTTTCCTTAAACTGTTTCAGAATTTCCAAGTCTCTGCCAATTTGTCAAGCCCTAGGACTCCAATAACAGTCCAGCAATCTCAAACTAGAAGGAGGGTATTATCTCAAGTTGCTTGCATACACTAAGGCAAGACACACAGGTATGCACGCGTGCACACACATACACACAGTTTCTTTTAACCTAGGTAATACAGCCACCAGGATGGATCCCTCTGAAACTAATTAAGTTAATTCTACATCAAGCAAGTTGAGAGGAGCCCTAGGAAAGCTCGCACTGTACCAAGGTGCCAGGAGCCTGGGGAGAGGGTGACACGTATCTCTTTGTTCCCTGCAGGAGCGTGTGCCCTGCCTCAGCTGCTTCCCAGGCAGGTTTGTTCTCTGCACTGGGCCATCTATGGACAGCTGTTTCTACATTTCTTTCCCAACGGGGCAAACTCCTTTCTTTCATTTTGCCACCAGCTCTGCAGAACTACTCACAGCCCACCTCTTGCTTATAGCAATGGACTGCCCACTTACCACGTGGCACCTCTGTCAATGCCATCTGAGCAAAGAACTCACGTCCCAGGGACAGCATCATAAGGCACGTACATACACAGGCATACCCAGCTTCTCTGCTTAGACATCCAGGCTGCGGATTCTGAAAATGGTGGGACTCTTTCGGTTATTTTTTCACTCTAGCAATATTATTTTTAAGAGAGCTTTATTAAGATATACATACCACAGGGGTTGGGGAGGGGGAAAAAGATACACATACCACAAAACTCACTTGCTTAAAATATACTCAGTGCCTTTTAGTATATTTACAGAGTTGAGCAATCATTAACATAATTTAATTTTAGAACACTTTCATCACCCCCAAAAGTAATAGGCACTGTTTTTTCTTTTGTTCTGAAAATATATTTATCTATTTAACTTTGTTCTTTAAATTTGCACATTAAAAGCAAAAAGAAAAATACATTAATGGATATGTTAGATTTCTAGTTAGTAAGAAATGAAGAGGAGTTATGGCTCTCAAAGCTGTGGTTCACGTAACTGTCTTGTTGGTTACAGTAATTTATTAAACTACCCCAAAATATACACTTTATTGTGGTATATACGCTTCAGTAAATGTCCAGGGCCACATCTTCGACATTTTCCAGTTTGTTGTGAATTTCTCTAATGCCACATACGGCTCTCAAGGGATTGGGTGGAGACAATATTGCAAATTCCAGATTGCTCATTCTCGCAAGGCAATACTTTTATAATATGCCCAGGATGGTACCACAGGTATATTGGTATTTAATACACTTTTTTTGTTGTGACGGAAGCTCATTAATTTTTATTAACTCAATTTAATGCATGAAGTAATTGCAGCATCGAAGTTCTGAG